TCCACAGCTAATTAAAATCATTACAACCCACCCTCTCCACGGCTAACTATCCTCATTACAACCCCCCTCTCCACGGCTAATTATCCTCATTACAACCCCTCCTCTCCACGGCTAATTATCCTCATTACAACATCCCCTCTCCACGGCTAATTATCCTCATTAAAACCCCCTACCACCCTTGCTGGATAATTGTATCACTCACCTCTCCATATGCATTTTTTAAGAGACCAATAAACCCTTTTCCATATTTTTCAGGCTCGCTGAGTCTCCAGGCCTTCCATTTAGGCACAAGCCTCTCGTACATATACTTAGGTCCTTGAGTAATACTCATTTTACCTGAAAATATAATTTTTTTCTATTACTAAAGGCCTAAGGGACTGCCGACTTAATTTGAAGAGGCCCCAATAATTAACAAGTTCAACATGTCAGGTTTACAGCTGTTTGCCCTTTAACAATTTAAATGACTAATAATGATAGGCCAGGACAAACCTTCTATCTCAACAATTTTCATCAAAATTAGTATATATTTAGGGTTAGGTAAGACACTATCTGGGCTATTTGGCAGAGCGCTGCGGCCACAAGACCAAATTTATTCATGTTTTTTAAACTGCCTAAAAATCGATAAAGAATGATGTACAATATTACTAACCCCGATGAAAAAATACTACTAATAATTAAATTATAAATACGCAATGTAAAAATTTGATTGAGGGAAGGGGGCGGGGTCCATTAGAACCTGAGAAGTTTAATACGGTGGGGTTACCTTCTTAAAAGTTTTAAACTTCTTGGATCGAGCAGAGCAATTGGGGCTAGGAGTCCTCGAGCTCTGCAGCCTTTATTAGAACCAAATACTAACCGTTGAGGCGCGTAGGACCAATAAATGTCAATCTATCATCAAGAACTATAACAAAAAATTCTTTTGTGCCGATTTCAATGCGCAGCGGAGATAGTGTCAGGTTTATTTGGTTTGGATTCTACAAAGATGGAGAAAATAATTTGCCGCTGAAATCCGTCAGTGAAAAGTGTCATATCATCGAACCAACGATTTATCCAAGCGGGACTTTAATTTTAGATTAAAATAATACTTAAATTGTATTGTACATTGAAAAAGTTTAAATGTGTTAGATTTTACATTTTAGAAATTAAGTTGCAAATTTTTTTTTGACTGTTGGCTTAAATTATTTCTTTCATAGTTCCGTTGATTTAGCATAGCAAATATAGCGAAGACGAAAAAAATATGCGTCAAATTACAAGAAAGAGAGAGGGGGGATGAATTTTGTAGATCCAGAATAAATAATTTCGGTAGGACGCCTGCGTGTGAGGGGGAGTACAGATGGGTAAAATTATATTGTCTATACGCAACATCCCCCCCTACTGAAGTTCTGACCGCCAGTCCACACAGCAGCTGAAAACCCCCGTGCTAATAGGTCAGATGTGTAAAACAACGGATTTGGCGTAGATAAAAACTCTAAAGCAAAGTACAGTGAATTTGCGTAGGTCGAAAGATACACCATCCTGCCGGAAGTCCTAAATTCATGGGTACTGGAATAGGGATAAGGTAGTTGTGGCGTTATTTCTGGGTAAACGTTAAATAATGGTAGTAGATTCTACGCAGGAAATTTTCCGCGGCATCCGCGCATATTTTTGCAGTTTACGGCAATGCGCACAACAGAAATCTTGTATTTTATCTGAAATTTCAAAATTAGAAATTATATTTATACACTTAAAATATACACTATATGCTGATAGATAATGAGAGTACAGAAGTAATTAACTATACATTAAACTCTCATTAGTTGCAATTAACTAATGTAAACTAAGCTGTAATATCGATCCCTAATGTTAAAACAATTGATATTTACTGTCTGTCGCTCAGCAAAACTTGATTGATTCTCATATATGAGAAATACTTTCACTTAATTTACTGTTTACATTCACAGAATTGTGCATGAATGCCTCGGAAAATTTGCTGCGTAGAGTCTACTACCATTATTTAACGTTTACCCAGAAATAACGCCACATCTGTACAGGGCACAAAGTTGACACTGGTCCTAGAACTGTCTTGGGATAAGATCTGTTGTAGGCGAGTATACGCATAATTGTGATTGGGATTTCTTTGGCGGTCTGAGAATTCTCCACCAATAGTTTTAATCAGTGACGTCAGAGGATACGGNCAGCACCCATGCCTAAATTGGTAACCACAACTCCCACAACTGCACCCAAACGTTTTCTTTGTCATGTGTGCTCCTGAATTTGTAATCTCCTCCACCTCAATCAAGTGAATCAAGAGACCTGGTGTAAAATCCTGTTTTCTGAGATTTTAATTTAATGCATTTTTAACACTGCAGTTTAATCGACATCAATCTATATGTGTATTGAATTTTCAATTTGTTATCAGATTGGCTTGGTCAACAAAAACTGAGAAACAAGGCATATATGTTTATTTGAGCCAAATCTTAGATCCTATTCGCGCCATTTATTGACTGCAATTCATTATTTAAGTTAAGATACTAAAGGTCAGGCTGCCTGTTTACTAAAAATTACCTAACCCCGGCCTAAGAAATATCTATCACCATTTAAAAGATATTTACAAAAGACCTGTACAATGTTCAGAATTTATATTCGCCTACTCAAGTTCAATATCTATAATACACAAAACTAATTTCATGCATAGAAAGAACATAAAATTTAGAAGTCTTATCCACCCCACTTGTAAAAATGAAGTATTAAGTTCACTAATTATCTCAATTATCTCAATTGAAGATACCTAAGTGTCATGCTTTCAATTGGTAAAATGGTATTTCTCAGGAAGCATGGGTATTCAGGGGGAATTTCTCCCCAGTAAACTTTGGTTATCAACCCTAGCACTATAGTTTAAACCTGGTTAACAACTTCAACTCCAGTTTAAACCTTGGTTAACAACCTCCGCTTGCAGTTTAAGCCTTGGTTAACCACCTCCACTCCAGTTTAAGCTTTAGGTTCACAACCTCCACTAAAGTTTAAACCTTTGTTAACAACCTCCACTCCAGTTTGAGCTTTGGGTTCACAACCTCCACTAAAGTTTAAACCTTGGTTAACAACCTCCACTCCAGTGTTAATCTTGGTTTACAAGCTCCTAGTTAAAACCTTGAATAACAGCCTCCAATCCAGTTTAAACTTTAGTGACCCATGGATATGCCCCACAAGTAGCTAAATTTTACTTATTGGTGTGCAATACTCTAAGGGGGGGGTAGGTGGACTAGTTAGTGGTCTACTCCCATTGTCTTCCGGGCCAGGGTTATACACTGGGGAGTAGACAGGTATATTGATATCCTTTGGATGACTGGTTTCAAACTGCTCTCTTTATACAAACTGTTTCTTCTTTGAATCTTTATTTGGAGTGTGAAACTTAATAGATTTTCTTACAGTTTAACAACAGATGAAAGGGGAGGAGAGAGAAGTGGTTTAACTGAATTAGATTGAAGTATTTTAGCAACAATATAACATTGATTAGAACAATTTTTATAATGATTTTATATAAATACTTACATGAGTGTCATCTATAAGTAAATAAATCACAGAATGTCTACATCAGTGTCCATAGTTGGTTTAGGTTTTACTAAAGGTATGCTGAGGGTCTAGGCATATACATTCAAATACCCTTTATAAGGCGTGCGTGCGACAATTGAAAATGTACATATTCTATGTAGTGAAAATTGTAATAGATCAAATGCCATATTTCAAAACATGCTGATTCAAATATCTTAAAATGCTGCTAAATTAAACTATTCACATAAAATGGTACGCACAAAACATTTTTTGAAATGTTAAGGGCAATTTATATTAAAAGCTAGTTTGGCATTGATATGGATTAAGTCGCAAAATTTGCAAAAATTTTGTTACATACATCGATGCATGAATATCAAACGTAAAACTTTAAACCTTACAACTAAGTAAGATATTTTGTAAATTAACGTTTATTTATGAACCCCAATTACGCCAAATACAGTTATCTGATGTTCAAAGAAAACCTTAAGCTGATGTTATATCTTACGATATGTAACGTAAATTTACGCTAATATATTACGTAAATTAAAAGTTCAATATAAACCTAAAACTAACGTTACCAACCTTCATAAAGGTATGTATGTAGGTATAACATTTAAGTTATTTTAAAGTTCTGTAACGTTACAATTGTTGGTACGTTCCGTAACGTTGAATTACGAAATGATTTAACATTAGTCACGTAAAATGGTTTCTAGGGTAACTAGCATCTTGGACCTATCAGTTGGCGCGGCCTGACCTAACTTAACCCATTAATACGGACTAGCTCCCGTAGTGACAGAATTACATTTCAAGGACAGCTCCCTTAGGGGTACTATGTAAAGAGATAAGTGTACAGTTTGCAATATACAGCAAGTGAAGTGTGCAATATACATATTGCAGTGTTCAGTGTACAGATTGAAGTGTTAAGTGTGCAGTGTACATTGCACATCGTAAAATGCACATTTTGCAGTGTTCAGTGTGAAATGAATAGTGTGCAATGGGCAGTGTGCAGAGGTCAGTTGCCTTTACTATGAATTGTCAGTTTGTAGTAAGCAGTATACATTTGACGTACTCAGTTTGCAGTGTACAGTGTGCAGTGTGCTGTTTGCTGTGTAGCAGTGTGCAGTTTGGAATGTGCAGTGTACAGTTTACAGGGCCTACAGTGTACAGTGTGCAGTATGCATTGTGCAGTGTGCCATGTGCTGTGATCTATGTACAGTTTAGATTGCGTAGTGTGCGGCATACAGTGTATAGTGTGCAGCATTTATTGTACACTGCATTGTGCAATGTCAAGTGTCTAGTTTGCAGTGTACACTGTGAAGTGTGAAGCATTCATTGTGCAGTTTGTAATGTGCAGTGTGCAGTGTGCAGCGTGCAGCGTGCAGCATGCAGCATGCAGCATGCAGCATGCAGCATGCAGCATGCAGCGTGCAGCATGCAGTGTGCAGTGTACAGTTTACAGTGGGAAATGTGCAGCATAAGTGTGCACTGCATTGTACAGTTTCAAGTGTGCAGCATTCAGTTTACAGTTTGTAGTGTGCAATGTTCATGCGTCTAAAACGACGCACAACATTTTGTCAAAAAAATATATGGAAATAAACAGAAAAAAAACAAAACTTGGCAAAAACAAAAAATATATAACAAATGCTATAATTTATTTTACATAAGTTTTGATCAATAGTTAAAAACATCGAATTTGGACGAGGGTTGAATTTTCCTATTGGAATTTTGTGAATCTGACATGCTTTCCTGGGTGAAACTGAAAAAATATTGATCCAGGTGCCATCTGGGCATGGCAGACAAAATTTGAAACTGTATTCATTTGCAGAAAAAGATATGAAAGGTCCAGCATAGATAGTCAGATAGTTAGTCAGGGTTTGAATTTATGTGCCGAAAACGACGCTCATGTCGAACAAATGGGTTAATAAAAAGTACACATTTCAGAGAGAATGGAAGAAATTATGGATGAAGAAATCTCTACTGTAAAGGATTCATGTACTATTAATGTAGTGGAAGATGTAAAGGAGGAAAGTACAGAAAATCAAGGTATGGGTGAATACTGATTTTTTTTATTTATATTTCATAAGTGATCGATCTCGGCTTTAAGAACTTAAGGCACATAGATCTAAAAGACGTTAAAGCAACTGATTTTTAGAAAAATCAAAAAAGATTCTTTAAAACTTGTTGATCTTGGTATCATACACCAGAAGCTGGTGAATACTATGTTTGGATATTTTCAAAATTGTTTAATACAGGGCTTACTTACTTTACTTACTTAATTGTTTCAATATCAACAAATTCAGTGTTCCATATGAAACTTCCAATACTCTTTAAATGTATTTTAAAGTTTTTTCCGCATTCGGTAGTAAACTTACCTTAATTTCATAAAAACTTGCTTCTGATTGGCAATCACAACTGTTTTGTTTTAAAATAATAATTATATATGTTGTTGTTGTTGTTGTTGTTGTAGCCATTGAACCACAGTAGCATATATGGACATGGAAATTAGTGAAGTTCTATGTTCATGTATGGGAGTGGAATGGTAAAATCAATCACCCCTAATATTTATATGGATTACATTCATTAAATAAAAGTTAATATTCCCAATTAAACAAAAGGAATTTTTCNCTAAGGATAATTAATTTTTAGTTAGTTAATAACAAATTGATTGATATTCATATTTCTGCCAACAAGAATCTTTTTAGTAGTAAAATAATGAATCTTTTAATTATTATTTACAAAGAGTAAATTTCGTTAATTTAAAGACAAGTTTTTAGGTTTAAATTATAACATGGTACAAGCTATAAGACCTCACTTCACACTAGTACATTCATTATAACATCATGGTACAAGCTATAAGACCTCACTTCACACTAGTACATTCATTATAACATCATGGTACAAGCTATAAGACCTCACTTCACACTAGTACATTCAGTAAATGCAGTTTGGTAATTTTTACCTCACAACCCTTGACTCGTGGGGTTATTTGTTTTCTCTTTTCTAATTTCCATTTGTTCTGAAACAAAATATTTCTAAATTAAATTATTTTGGACTGTTGTTGCGTTCCAATATTCTGCAAGGGGGAACGTTCCCCAATTTCAGGAGGAGACCCCTCCCCCTACTGGTTACAGCCTTAGGGGTTAAAAGTATTGAGGATAAATCAAGGAACTAAAAGTGAGAAATAAGGAATAAAAATTATCTCTGTAACATTTCTGACGATTGATGAAAGATCTGAACAAAATTTCAAGATACTCAGGCATTTAGGAAATTTCTCAGACACACAGGTATTTGGGAAATTTACAAAATATTTCAATTACACCACCATCAGATTCCAAGATACCCAGTCATTTGGGAAATTCCCCAATTTCCCTAATTCTTTTTGAAATCTGATGGTGGTGCATCTAAAATATTTTAGAAATTTCCCAAATTCCTGGGTTTCAAGGAAGTTTCCCAAATGCTTTGGATTTTGGGAAATTCTTATTTTTGATAATTGATGTCAGTCCCTTCCGAAAGTTTGGAACAAGGATTAAATAAATATCTTTTTAATCAATGTGATTAATATACAACTAAAACTCTCGTGTTGAAGCTTCACATTCAGATCCTCATTCTTTCAGCATATTTTTGGTCTTAATTATAAACATACATATTTCTCAATTTACCATGCGATGCTGTAAAATCAACAACCCTTTCTTGGCGTTTACTAACAAATATCACCCTTTTTATGGAAGGGTATTTGTATCAATGTGAGTACGATGCCACTTCATAAAGACATCTGAAGGGTCATATTGAAAATAAACACAAAGGAGTTAAGATATATATGCGATCAATGTGATCATGCTGCTACTGACCAAAGTAATCTGAAGAATTACATAGAAAATAAACATAAAGGAGTGAAATATCCCTGTGATCAATGTGAATACGCTGCCACTACAGTAAGACATCTTAAAGTACATATTGAATCTAAACATGAAAAAGTGGGATATCCCCGTGATCAATGTGAGTACGCTGCCACTAGAGCAATAAATCTGAAGATACATATTGAAAATAAACATGAAGGAGTGAGATATCCCTGCTGATTTATTTTCTCTTTTCCAATTTCCATTAGTTTCGACGTTTATTGGATACAAACAGACAGACAAACTAAATATATAGATAGATAGATTAATCAGTGTAAATCTTTGTTTGCAGATTTTTATTCATTTTTATTTAGCTTTAAAATATAAAATGTATTGTACAATGTACATATTTCAGAGAGAATGGCAGAAATTATGGAAGAAGATAAAGTTACCATTAAAGAAGAAATCTCTACTGTAGAGGATACATTTACTGTATATGTAGCGGAAGAAGATGTAAAGGAGGAAAGTACAGAAAATCAAGGTATGGTTCATTATTTTATTCATATATATCTTTGCTGTTGAAGAACGTCCAACATGAAACACAGTGTCCAGCAATAACCAATTTTAAAAATGATAGAACACGCTCTAGACTTATTTTAAGAAGATAAATATAATTGTTTCTATCGAATTCCAAAATTTTAAAAAGATTGAATCACAGAATCTCAGAAAATTTGCAAAATTGTAATTAGAAAATTCGCAATTTTTTGTTCTAATTGCAATTTTGCAAATTTTCTGAGATTCTGTAATTCAATCTTTTTAAAATTTTAGATTTCAATAGAAACAATTTAGTTACACATTTTTGTTTTACTGGATTTTTTTTGGGCCATTGAAGTACCAAAAAATTTTTTTAAACAGTTAAAAAATATTGAAAAAAACACCATACAGAAGAGTTGCACAAAAAAGGTACAATTTTGCAGCAGGCGCCGCAAATCACACTTTTTTTTAAATCACCCTGTATATATATGAATTTTCAACTTTTTCAGTTTAAACATACATTTTAGATGTTTAAATATATATTTTTTCCAAGACGAAATGTTTCATGGGTCTAATCCAATCATCAGTTGGAATAAATAAAATATATAAATATATATATATATATCTATCAAGAGCTGAAAACTTTAGAATGGGATATCTTAAATTCCGATCGGTTAACTAATCTGGAGTTTAAATTCATGTGGAGAACAAGCAATATTTAAACTGGATATTAATTATTCGACGGGATATCTGGATATTTCATTCTAAAGTTTTCAGCTAAGGATAATTAATTTTTAAAGTATTTTTTTTTAAGTTCAAGTTTATAAATCTAAAAGCCCTTGCATCAATTTATATTCAGCGTTTCAAAAAAAAAGTGATCGGTAAAAAAAAATTCTTTAAAACATATCAATCTTGGTATTTTGTTTTAATATTAACAAGTTCAGTGTACTTTACGGTTCAGGTGTCCATAAAATTCTATTTCTGATCCCAAATGGGGCATGAATTTACACTTACGTCATTGTTAAAATTGACAAATTTGTAAATATCAGTAATCGATATACAGTATGGATTTTTTTCTACATCTTGATATGATACTTCCAATTGTTTACAAGAATGACATGTTTTTTGGTTTAATTAATACCCATAAAATCAAACGATCAAAACTTGGGATCGTATTGGATAGAATTATATTGACCCCTAATACGGATCAATTTTTTTCCATATTTTTTCTGCATGCATTAGTGAACTAACCTAGAATTTTTTTAAAAACCGGCTACTGGGATAGTTTATTCACTGTTTTTTAAACCTACTATAGGACTTGAATAAAGATGAAATCAATAAACTGGCTCTCCACTATCTTCACACTCAGATCGATGAACCCAAGCTATCCCTAGCGTCTGATGCAGTGTCGAAAAGTCGGCTTGACTTGGTTCTATTTAAAGCATGTTTGCATATGATAAGGAAAAACAGAAAACTAACGGGGTATTTCCCCCTTAACTACTATATATATATATATATACAGCTACTGCCACTCGGGCATAACAGTATCATTGCACATGTCATGCTAACTCTGTGACCCACGTACTCCTCAGGGAGGCAGAGGGTTGCAGGGAGGGGTGGTTTCCTGGTAACATTCGTGTTATTGGGATGTCATAATAGATAGATACAGTTTATCAAACAACCATCCTTCTGGCTTGGATTACACTACTTTCAAGTGACCCTCAATTAATAGAATGGAATTTAATAGTTTAAAAGCTTTGTTTGACAAACTATGAATGCGATATCCACTTGAAATTACAAGGACAGTCTCATTATTAATTTCAAGATATTATTCAAAATTTAAAACCATTTGTGATACTTGAGGTTAATATTTTATTTATTCTCTTTTTGATTTTTTTCAGGCAAAGTTGTCAAGATTGAAGTAGATCCCCTTTTCCCTGAACAAAAGAGGCTTAAAAAGAGGAAACTGAGAGAAAAAAGAGATACAAGTTTTCCCTGTGTAAAATGTGATTATATGGCAACTCAAGCATGTGATGTAAAGAGACATATTGAAAATATGCATGAAGGAGTGAGGTATCCATGTGATCAATGTGAATACGCTGCCACTCAAGCAGGTAGTCTGAAGATACACATTAAATCAAAACATGAAGGAGTCACATATCCTTGCGATCAATGTGAATACGCTGCCACTACATCCAGTAGTCTGAAGATACACATTAAATCTAAGCACGAAGGAGTGAGATATTCTTGTTCTAATTGTGAATATACTGCCACTACAGCAGGTAATCTGAAGAATCATATTGAAAAAAAACATGAAGGAGTTAGATATCCGTGTTGCCAGTGTATGTATGCTGCAACTGACCAAAGTAGTCTGAGGAGACATATTAAAAATAAACATGAAGGAGTGAGATATCCCTGTGGCCACTGTGTGTATGCTGCAACCGACCCAGGAAATCTGAAGAAACATATTGAATCTAAACACGAAGGAGTGAGATATCCCTGTAATCAGTGTGAATACGTTGCTACTGGTGTACAGGGTCTGAAAAGACACATTGAATCTAAACATGATGGAGTGAGATATCCATGCTCTCATTGTGAATACGCTGCCACTACATCAGGCAGTCTGAAGATACATATTGAATCTAAACATGAAGGAGTAAGGTATTCCTGTGATCAGTGTGAATACGTTGCATTTGACCAAAGTAAACTGAAGAAACATTTTAAAAATAAACATGAAGGAGTAAGTTATCCATGCGATCAATGCAAGTACGCTGCCACTACAGCAAGTGCTTTGAAGATACATATTGAAAATATTCATGAAGGAGTGAGATATCCTTGCGATCAGTGTGAATACGTTGCCACCCAATCCTCTCATTTAAAAACACATCAAAAAAGGAAACATATTAAATAAGAAGTATTTTGCACTGCAAACTTAAAATTGTCTTTTTTCTCATTGCACCTCAACATTTTCCAGGGATAACATTCCAAAATTTACCGGAGGAGAAAAGGAATAAATAAATATCTTTGTAAACATTGTGATAAATCTACAACTAATACTTATATTTTAAAGATTCACATTCATCATCTGGAAACTCATGTTAAAGGGAAAATATGAGAAAACCAAACAAAATATCCATGATACATTAATATAATATCGTTTTGAAAATGAAATTTTGCCTTATGGGTGCGATTCCATCAAGAATATGCTTGCACATATGATATCATTTGTGGATAGGAGGAAAGTATGTGTATAAGGCTGATATATAGCATAATTAAACTGAATCTCACACCAAAAAGTGGGATTTTATATAAAAAGAAATTTTGTCTCAGTGTTACAAAATATTTTTTGAGCCGATTTTTGTCAGCCCATATGTGCTTAAATATATTAGACTAGGCTTTGTTGTTGATGTTGTTGTTGTTGTTGTTGTAGCCCAGGCTGGCTCTCATCCATTTTCATCCTCTCCACCTTCCAACCTCAAGAATCTCGCGACGTCTGTAGGATTGTTCCAGAGATCTCTTACTGTGAGGGAAGTAGGGTTTTCATGGCAGTTGAATAGGTGATTTGTGGTATGTGGGTGCATCTGGCAGTCTAGGCATTCGTCTGTGACATCCTTGCGGATTCTAGATAGGTAGCTGTTGAGGATGGAACTGTGGCCTGACCTTAGCTGTGATTGTAGAGATATAGTTCTTCTGGGTAGTGTTGATTCTGATTTGTTTTTTGGCAGGTGGGAGTTCATCTAGTACCGGGTTATTGTCTTGTGACTGGATGTATGTTGAGACAGATTCGGTATGAATAGTTTTTATTAGAGATTTGTAGTTTAGGTTTCCTGGCTGTATTAGAGGTCTGATGTAATCACCATGTTGGGATGTTAATGTATTTTTCATGAGGCGATCAGAGTTGTGGTTGATGTCTGTATTGTTGTTTGGATGTGAGTCTTGCTGTGTAGCTAGGAGAAATTGCTTTGATAGCATTTGGCAATGTTCTTTTACTGGAAGAGTCTTACTTTCAGCATGAAGATGGTTAGAGTTAGTCTCTTTACACATCCCATGGCCGTTCTAAGGGCGGAGTTTTGGGCTGATTGAAGCTCTGACCATTTTGAATCACAAAGATTAGGACCCCATATGGGACAGCAGTAGTTTAGAATTGATTGTCCAATTGCTTTATAAGTTTGGAGTAGGATTTCTTTTTCCATACCCCAGGTGGTACCAGCTAGTGCTTTTAGGATATTGTTTCTAGATTGAACTTTGGTTTTGATATTTGTGGCATGGTGCCTGAAAGTAAATAGGTTGTCAAAGGTTACACCGAGAATTTTGGGTTGTTTTACAGTTGGGACCTTTTGGCCATTTATGAAGATTGGGAGATCAAAGTTTGCCTCATTTGAGAAGGTGGTGAAGATGGTTGCTGATGATTTTGAGGGAGAAATAAATAGATTTCTCTCTTTAAACCAGTTGTCTAATATGTTGAGGTAGAGGTTTATATCTTGACATATTGGTTCGTGTTTTGGTCCTGATTTTTGGACTGTGGTGTCGTCTGCATAGGTTACTAGTTGAATATCACCAGGGGGTTGAGGCATTTTAGACATATATAGATTAAAGAGCAAAGGAGATAAAACTCCCCCCTGGGGAACTCCTTGGCGCATTTTCCTAAATTTGGATTTTGAGCCTCTGAATTCAACATAGGTCTGACGGCCTCTTAAATAGGCACAGAGAAACTGTTTGATATGACCGTTCAGTTGGAGATCTTTGATGTCACTAAGCAGTATATCATGGTCTATGGTGTCGAAGGCTCTTGACAGATCAATTGCTACTGTTATAGTACGGTTCACTGGTTTCTTCTGGTTGAGTCCTTTTGTTATGTGGTTACTGATATTCTGTAGTGCAGTGGTGGTCGAATGTCCTTTTCGAAAACCATGTTGGTGTCTGGCGAGGTTTACTGAGTCTGTAATTTCAGGAAGGAGGATTTTCTCTAGTATCTTGGCTAGGGGTGATAGTAGGGATATTGGTCGGTAGCTGGAGCCTTGATCGGCAGATTTGTCAGGTTTCTAAAGTGGGATAATACGGCCTGTTTTCCAGAGAGCGGGGATGGTGGCAGTGTTTACACAGTTGTTGTATATTTTACTAAGGAAAAGGATACCAAACGGGCCAAGATGTTTCAGAATAAGAGGGGATAGTTTGTCTGGACCTAGTGCTTTTGAGTTTTTGGATGCTTTGATTGCTTCTGAGACTTCTGTTGATGTTATCACAACTTTTGGGTCTGATGGTGTTTTCTGTAGATTGCGTAGAGTGGTTCTGGATTGTTGGAAAGGTTTTTTTGTCAGAATTGGGGGTGTACTGGCGGTTGAAGTTATTTGCTAATTGTTTAGGGTTGTTATACATCTTGTTGTTAAATTTGATACCTTGGTTTTCTGGTTGTTTGGGTTCACTATTGAGATTTTTGATGGTTGTCCATAGTTTTTTTTTGAGTTGGGTTGGCATTTGCTTAAGTGTTCTTTCCATTTTTGTTGTTTGTGAATGTTGATCTTCTTGTTGATATCTCTGTTCAGTTCTGGAAGTCTTGGGTTGGTTGGGTCTTCATTCCTAAGTCTGTCTCGTTTTGTAATGTCATTCAGTGCTTCTGTGGGTATCTCATGAATGGTACGCATGATTCTGCCAGAGGGGATGTAATTCTTTGCTGCATTTTGGATGGTTTTCCTGAAGAATCTTTCATCTTCATGAACATCTTCTGTGTGATATGCTTCGGAGAAAATTTTTTCTGTGTCTTCAGTAAATTTCGCCCAGTTGGCTTTGGAAAAGTTTATGTACTTTTTGTCTTGACTTTTTTTCTTAGAGATGTTAGCAGATAGATCAATTAGTATTGGTAGATGGTCGGAGCTAATTTTTGTCACTACCTTCCAGTTGCTGGAAGCTAGGAGTGAGTTTGAGACTAGACTGATGTCTGGTGAAGTGTTGGAGGTATTTGTTGTTCTTTGTGGCATAATCTTCATTAAGTATACCAAAGGGTTTTTCAGTTATGGCTTCAGCAAGTTGTCTGCCTCTTATGTCTTCATTGGCTTCAGAGAACTAGGCTCTCAGGTCGCTTCACGCCCATCTCCTTTTTTCCATTTACTTTTGGCTCTATCGGCAAGCAGTTTCTATTCATAGAATATAAAACCATAGAAAGATAAGTTCGCAGATTTCATCATATCCTTGTTGATTTTCAAAATTTTACAAAAGATTATTGAAGATACATTTTTGATATTCTGTTTATCCATAAACCTTTCCTAAAAATGTTCAGCTGTTTTGGCGTTTTTTTGATACAAACAGACAAACTAAATACATAGTTGAATAAAGAGTAAATTTTAATCAGTTCTAGCTTTTTATTTATTTTAATTCAACGCCTATTTACCCTTAAAAGATGTTAACTTCTTTTTTATTAGTGTAAATATAACATGTATTGTATACAATGTTCATATTTCAGAAAGAATGGCAGAAATTATGGAAGAAGATAAAGTTACCATTAAAGAAGAAATCTCTACTGTAGAGGATACATATACTGTATTTGTAGTAGGAGAAGATGTAAAAGAGGAAAGTACAGAAAATCATGGTAAAGTTAAACATTATATATATATTGTATATGATCGATTTTTGATGTTCTTTTATAACTTATGCTTATAAATCTACAAACCCTTGCTGCAATTGATATATAGCGTTTCAAAAATCATATAAGTGACCTGGGAAGAAATAACTCTAGAATGGCAATTTTAGGTGATAACATCTGAGTAGTTATCAACACAAAAGTGATAATCTTGGAAACAAAAAGTTAAAGTGTGATTTGCTGGTTTTTTGCCACTGACTTCGGATATGCAGATCGTAGAACATCTGGGACATGGTGTCCCTGATGTTCTAGGATTGATAGTCCTCAGCCCAAATTCTCCAGAGGAAATTCTGTAGCAGAACTTACTTTGAAATTTATAGCTTTAGATTTAATTTATGAGATGAAGGGTTTCTTGTTACCATTTGTATCTATGCTTCTTTGCAACTCTAACTGCTTTTTCGCAATCCTTCTCAGATTTTTTAAAACGCTCAAAATGCTCTTTAGTTCTTGTAAACATGTAAACCTAGTAGTGAGGTTGTTTATGGTTAATACATTTTGTAATTGATTTCATTTTAGTCGATTACTTGTACATCGGGGTATAGAAGGGATGAATTTATTAATACCTGATATAATCTTGTCCTTGAAAAATGCCCATGAATCTTCAGTTGTTTTCCTATCCAGCTTATCTGACCATTTACCATCATTGAGATAATCATATAAACCAATCTAGTTGCTATTATTCCAGTCTGGTATTAGCTCAGCTGAGCTGTTATATTTGGAGTTAAAAATACCTAAGGAGTTGCGTTCTGAGCAAGATAGAAACCTGAGACCCTGAGAATTTTGTTTAAATCTTTTAAAAAATTCAAAATATGATATTTTTAAGGAAAACTTTAGCTGTTTTGCACATTTTGAAAATAAAATTTTGGAAAAGCTCGACATCTTTTTCTATATTAAAGATCAGATGAAGGTTTCAAGGGTATCGATGTGAATCAGGCATGCCCCTAAGTTTAGATTTAAAGTCACCTGAAAATACAACTACATTAGATCGAGTAGCCCATGGGACTTCCCTAGCTTCTTGAATTGAATTGAATTGAATTTATTAATTCTCTTTTTAAATTTTTCAGGTGAAGTTGTTAAGGTTGAAGAGGATCCCCTTTTCTCTGAACACAAGAGACTAAAAAAGAGGAAGCTGACAGATAAAAGAAATAAAAGTTATCCCTGTGGAAAATGTGATTATGTGGCAACTCAATCAACTCATTTGAAGACACATATTCGAAGTAAACATGAAGGAGTGAGATTTCCTTGTTCTCATTGTGAATACGCTGCTACTAGAGTAGATAGTCTGAAGAGACATATTGAATCTAAACATAAAGGAGTGAGATATCCATGCGATCAATGCGAGTACGCTGCCACTATAGAAGGAAGTCTAAAGAGACATATTAAATCTAAACATGAAGGAGTAAGATATCCTTGCGACCAGTGTGATTACACTGCCACTCAGGCATGTAATCTGAAGATACATATTGAATCTAAACATGAAGGAGTGAGATATCCTTGTTCTCATTGTCAGTACGCTGCAACCCAAGCAGGTGATTTGAAGATACATATTAAAAATAAACATGAAGGATTGAGATATCCTTGCGACCAATGTGATCACACTGCCACTACAGCAAGATGTCTGAAGAGACATATTGAATCTAAACATGAAGGAGTGAGATATCCATGTGTATTTTCTGCCACTAGAGTAAGTGATCTGAAGAAACATATTGAAAATAAACATGAAGGAGTGAGATATCCATGCGACCAATGTGTATTTTCTGCCACTACAGCAAGTGATCTGAAGAGACATATTAAAAATAAACATGAATGAGTAAGATATCCATGTTACAATGCGTGTATGCTGCAACTACAGCAAGTCATCTAAAGAAACATATTGAAAATAAACATGAAGGGGTAAGATATCCATGCGACCAATGTGATCACACTGCCACTACAGCAAGACGTCTGAAGAGACATATTCAATTTACAAATGAAGGAGTGAGATATCCATGCGATCAATGCGAGATCGCTGAAAATACTGCAGGTATTCTGAAGATACATATTGAAAATAAACACAAAGGAGTGAGGTTTCCCTGTGATCAATGTGAACACATTGCAATACCCAATCTAATCTTTTAAAAACACATCAAAAAAAGAAACATTAATTAAGAAAGGCTTTGCAATGTAAGCTTCAAATTGTCACTTCTCTTCTATTAAATAATTCTCTTATTGTAGAATTTAATAAATCAATCTTTGTTTTAATTGTATATTTTCTATATCAAAACTCAACTGTGGTTCCCTCCCTCCTCTCATCATTCTTAATTTCTTAAATAAAATTTTTATCATATTAACATTTTTGCAGAAAATTTTTCTGACAAATTTCATTTTTGAAAAATAGAAATTATAATCATTTTTTTTCAATTTAGTGAAATAACAATTATCATGCTAAACTTTTATGGAAAGATATTTGTATAATTCTATATAAACCTTTTTTTTTTGAATATTTTTATAAATATTTTTGACCAAACTGTTTACAACAATTTTGTTGTCATTGGAAATGCAGAACATGTCTGCAGTGAATTTTTTTTTTCAGATAGAATGGAAAATACTGAAAACAATGAGTTTGATAGACAGTGATGTTCTAAATAAACAGGAATAATAATATAAATTGATTTAACTTAAGTAATATTTTTTCATGAGATAATAGTCACAGAATAGTCTTAGTCCTGCCATTTACCAAATGTGGTCTGATATTTTTGTGCTATTATAATTACCAGAGATGTTGTATTCAATAAATAGAAGTTTAAACAAATTTCTTAATATCTATGGTATTACTAAGAGCATAGTCAGTGTGCATTTCTCACCTAATTTTCAATTAGGTCTTCACGCCAAATGCCGGACGCAGGCTCAGTCATCATACCCATTTCTCACGCGCTTGTTTCTGTAAATATCCACAGTTCATTTATACTCTAGGAACAAGGAAAGCACGTCTTGCGGTGGAAACTGAAAAAATAAATCACAATGTTAATCAGTTCCACATAATTTAACAATTTTTAAAGCAATACCATCAACTAATCATTATTTACAATCAATCAATCACACAAATATATTAAAAGAGTGCTTACATTTGGTGCATTGACTGAGTGGGTGGAGCACCGTCCACGTAGGTATATTTCTTGACGAGACTGTTTATTTAAACGGATTCCCTTATCTCCGAAGGTTTACTCCTTAAATAGTTTATATTAGATTTAAATTCACTTTAAATCATCGTTTAACACACCTGTTATTGTTCTGGTCAGAGCTCACTAGACCAGGAGGGTATCTGTTTCCTGGTTTGAGAATATCTGGCTCTCACCCCAGGTTCAGCATACACCTCTTCAGCTCCAAACTAACAGGTTGTCAACTCCAGGGTACGAACAACAATCTCCCTTCAATCTTCAACTCACTATCAACACTCTCCTTCCAGTCCTGAACACGTTAGAGTTACATGAGATATAACACACCTGTGATTAACTCATGGCTGCAATAACAGGACAGCTTCATGACTAGAGGTCCAGAGAGTACAGCGTCTCCTTCTTATCCGGGTGAAACCAGGATTATTTAGTACCAGTACAATCTTCTTCCGTCGAGGTACAGGTACAGCAGTAGCTCCAGGACTACTGTTTGTGGTACAGCATTCTTGTACAAGTGTCAAAACAACACCTGTCTTCCTTCTCTCAAACCAGTCAGCTGGGTCAGGATACAACGATATTGTCCTCAGCTCCTGAACAGGGGTATATATTGTCGATGCACCGGGGAGGAATGAGATCAGGGTACAGCAACGTGTACACTGTTCCCATGTACAAGTAATACAGTACGTTAAGGAATGTACAGTATTATAATATTTCTCAAACCTTTTGTTTATATCGTAGAGAATCTATTCGGATTTGCATTCAAACATGACCATATTGTTTGGTCTGTAAAAGGCCTCTAGTTAAATATTTTTTTAATGAATGTTCTTTGAGTAAATGGTTTTACATACATGGTTACATTTTAAGATTGATGGTATTGCACGTGCCTCCTCTCATATATATATATAAGTTTAAAATCTTTTTACTTTAATTTTTTAGATAAAACTTTCAGTTATATAATAAAATTAGGCGAAATATGCTTCCAATCAACAAGGTAAAATATTCGTTAAATATAGGCTAAATATAGGGTTAAATAGAAAGTACTTTATAACTTCTGCAGCTTGAAGATGAGGATTGATGATTAGATGTGGATCCAGCTCTTGTTGCAGTTCAAGGTTTATGTGAGCACTGGGTTTGTCACTCCTCGTTACTTCCTAATAGATATAGGTTTTACACTGCCCGGAAAAACGCTGGACTCACCAGCTAATCAACAAATAGGTTCACAGAATTCACTTTTTCCATTTAATATTACATCTCAGGATTTCTCATGAAGAACTGCTGACCAGCAATCTTAGAAGCCTCGTTGAGCTCCTCAACAAGCTCAAGATCACCTTCGTGGTGGGTACAGCAATCTTCCAAGCACTCCTCCGGGTTCTCCTGAAAATGTTTTCACCATCATTCTTATAACTTATCACGACGGTCCTGATGACCCCGTCCAAAGAGTACTCCACCTCCTCCACACGTCCTAATCTCCAGACAGGGGACCCAAAGGAAGCTTCAGACTCCAACTTCAGGAACAAGACAATATCGCCAAGGTCCTGCATCATGCAAGAATGAAGGGGCGGGTCAGGTCATCATTTATTCTTCTAGATCCATGGCTGCATTTCTATGCTCATCATAACTGTTTTTAAAAGCATATAGGGTCATGGACCCCTTTACTGCCTCAGGCAGTTGGTTCCAGCCTTTAACAACTGTTCAAAGTAATTTGAGGAGACATATTTTAATCAAACATAAAAGAATAAAGAATGAACATATTCCTGTGTGATGTCACCTCTGCCCAAAAAGGCTATCTAAGAAAATATATTAGAAATAACCATGAAGAGTGAAGATATCACTGTGACTAGTGTAAATACAATATGCTGTGGAGGGAGGGAACGGGCAGTGCTTACCTAGGAGCTATACCTGCCTCCCGGGTCGGTTCTACCCACAAGTACCTTACAGCTGATCCTCAGTCTTTCTCCTTCTTTCTGCGCATTATTGGTTTTTATTTTATAAATCATAATTTCTTATTTTACAATATTTGAACATCAACATTCAACAACCTCTTCTTGACACTTACTTCCTTTTAATCATTGTTAATCTTTCCTGCGGTCATGTAAGGTCATACAATAAATTTGTAGGCGTTTTGACGTTTATGGGATACAGACAGACAAGCTAAATATATAGATAGATAAAGAGTTAATTTTAATCAGTGTAAATCTTTGTTTGCAAATCTAGCTTTTAATTCATATTTATTTAAAGCCTATTTAGCTTTGAAATATAACATGTATTATACAATGTACATATTTCAGAGAGAATGGCAGAAATTATGGAAGAAGATAAAGTTACCATTAAAGAAGAAATCTCTACTGTAGAGGATACATGTACTGTATTTGTAGTGGGAGAAGATGTAAAAGAGGAAAGTACAGAAAATCAAGGTAAAGTTAAACATTTTATTTAAATGTATATGTATATATGTATATATTTATTAAGGATGATAGATTTTTGATGTTTTTTTTTTAGAACTTAAGCTTATAAATCTACAAACCCTTACCACAATTGATATTTAGTGTTTCAAAAATCATAAAAGTGACCAGGAAAAAAATCACTCTATTATGGCAATTTTAGGTAATAACATTCCAGGATTAGCATAAAAGTGCTAATCCTGAAATCATAATTTTAAAATGTGATTTGTTGGGTTTTTGCCACTGACTTCGGGGTGTCCCTGATGTTCTAGGATTGATACTCCTCAGCTTAAATTCTCAAGAGGAAATTCTACAGCAGAACAAACTTCGGAATTTATAGTTTTAGATTTAATTTATGAGGTGAAGGGTTCCTTGTTATCATTTGTATCTATGCTTCTTGGTGACTCTAACTGCTTTTTTGCAATCCTTCTCAGATTTTTAAAACGCTCAAAATGCTCTTTAGTCCTTGTAAACATGTAAACCTAGTAGTGAGGTTGTTTATGGTTAATACATTTTGTAATTGATTTCATTTTAGTCGATTACTTGTATATCGGGGTATAAAAGGGATGAATTTATTAATACCTGATATAATCTCGTCCTTGAAAAATACCCATGAATCTTCAGTTGTTTTCCCATCCAGCTTATCTGACCATTTACCATCATTGAGATAATCATATAAACCAATCTAGTTGCCATTATTCCAGTCTGTTATTAGCTCAGCTGAGCTGTTATATTTAGAGTTAAAACTCACTTCAACTAGCAGGATAGAATGATTTCTGTTCTGTTAGCAAGATTTCCTATTGGTTCAATAGTTAAAATGTTTTCTGATCTGTTAGTCAGAACCAGATCCAGCACAATTTCCATGGATGTGGGTTTTAAAGTCATAATTATTTTCTTTGATATATTGGAGGTACCCTCAAACTCTTTGTTTGATCAATAATGGATTAGATTATTTGTGTTTTAAAAAATTTATTATTTTCATTGGTGGGTTCTCTACAAACCTGCGCACTTTGTGGTTCAGAAACAATGCAGAAATGGAAAAGCACGACATTGTCTTCTATATTAAAGATCTGATGAAGGTTTCAAGGGTACCGATGTGAATCAGGCATGCCTCTAAATTTAAATTTAGAGTCACTTGAAATTACAACGACATTTTATTAATTCTCTTTTTTACTTTTTTCCTGTGAAATTGTCAAGATTGAAGAAGATCCGCTTTTCTCTGAACAAAAGAGACTAAAAAAGAGGAAGCTGACAGATAAAAGAGATAAGAAATATCCCTGTGGAAAATGTGATTATGTAAGTAAACATGAAGAAGTGAGATATCTATGTGATCAATGTGAATACGCTGCCACTACAGCAGTTAATCTGAAGAATCATATTAAATGTAAACATGAAGAAGTAAGATATCCTTGTTCTCAATGTGAATACACTGCCACTACAGCAGGTAATCTGAAGAAACATATTGAAAATAAGCATGAAGGTGTGAGATATCCTTGTTCTCATTGTGAATTCGCTGCCACTGAACCAAGTAGTCTGACAAGACATATTAAAAGTAAACATGAAGGAGTGAGATATCCCTGTTCTCATTGTGAGTTCGCTGCCACTGAAGCAAGTGGTCTGAAGAAACATATTGAAAATAAGCATGAAG